TTAGCCGCTTGGGCGATCGGTCACGTCTCTTTTCCTTTATATTCTTCACCAAAAGATCGGCTCGCTAGCCGCCCGGGCGATCGGTCACGTCTCTGTCACGCACTGTTGGCAAATACTGGGCATGCACCGGCTCCTGAATGTACCTGAACCCGCTCCAGTGTTGGTCAAGTCTTCTCTTGAAAGAGCTCACACTCGGTGCCGTCACAACACTCTCTGGTAGATTGTTCCAAGAGTTTACAACCCTCACTCCGAAAAAGTTTGCCCTCACGGTTTTCCGGACTTGCGGCTTCTTCAATCTTGAGCTGTGACCCCTTGTGGGGCGAGCGTCCGCCAGCTCCAAGTAAGGACACTCAACTGAGTAGTGCCCCCTGAGATGCTTATAAACCTCAACTAGGTCCCCCCTTGCCCGTCTGTAGTATAAGCTAGGCAAGTTCAGGCGCTCCAATCTCTCAGGGTAGCTGAGATGCCGAAGTGCAGGCACCAGTTTGGTAACATCATCCATCATCACCACATATAACATCTTCCATCATCGCCACATACAACATCATCCATCATCACCACATATAACATCATCCATCATCACTACATATAACATCATTCATCATCACCACATATAACATCATCCATCATCACCACATATAACATCATTCATCATCACTACATACAACATCATCCATCATCACCACATATAACATCTTCCATCATCGCCACATACAACATCATCCATCACCACTACATATAACATCATTCATCATCATCATCATCCATCACAAAAGAAGTTTCGAGATTCTCCCGGACACACACACACACACACACACACACACACACACACACACACACACACACACACACACACACACACACACACACACACACACACACACACACACACTCAGACATATACTTCTTAGTTTTATATATATAGCTCCGCCATGTAGAACACGACACACACACGTCCACACTTCACTCCCCTAAACCAGACTTTTTTTTTTTTTTTTATTTATTGGGCACTCCCTACATCCTTGTGTAAGGTGAAGCGCAGAAGCGTTTACAGCGCCCAACAGGGAAGCATGCTAAGTTCATGCTTGCCTTTATGAGTTAAGGGCCAGACTCTGTTTGAAAACCGGATGCCTACCCTGCTGGGGGCATGAACTCATCCTCCAGCCAATCAGCACAGTTAGGCCTATGCTGTCACACTCACAGGCCGCTGTGATTGGCTCAAGCCTCAGTCACTCATACACTCCTGGTGTTATGGCGGGTAATCTTTGTCCTAAGCTGAATTTTCCTGTATATCTCTAAACATGACACAATCTACTCCCCAAAACATGACATTGTTACATTTCCAAAGACACTCACGTCGTGCAGATATTTGAGGGCAGTCTTTTAGTGCAAGCCTTCCTGAACCCGTTCCATGAGGCTTTCGAAGGTAGCTGGTGCATTGCACAGGCCAAATGGCATAACTCTGAACTGCAATAGCCCTTGTCTATATGAAGATAGTGTCTTTTCCTTGTCTTCCTCAGCCACCTTCATCTGATGATACCCAGACTTCATGTCGAGTGTTGAAAACCACTTGGCGCCTGTCAGAGCATCCACTGTATCATCGATTTTTGGCAAGGGGTAGGAATCCTTCACCATCACGTGTTTGAGGGTGCGGTAGTCCACACAGCATTGCATTGAGCCATCCTTCTTCCTCACTAGGACGACTCATGACGCCCATTGACTGTTGGACTTTTTCGACCAGACCTTGGTGAATAAAGTCCCCTATCGCCTTCTCCATTTCCTGGCAACGAGTTGGTGCTATCCTTTGAGGCGGCTGCTTGACCGGGCGGTGATCCCCAGTGTCGATGTGATGCTGCACCAGGTTTGTACATCCCAGGTCTAGGTCCCCAGCAGAGAAGACGTCCTTATATTTCAGTAACAACTGTTCCAGTTGTATCACTTGAGCCTCACCCAGGCACTGGGAGCTCCTGGCAAACAAGTCCTGCAAATGGTCGGGCAAACCATTCTTCTGCTTGACCACGCTCCTCTTGCAGGTCCTGGGCTGCTGCTCCTGGTCGACCTCTTGCCACAGGCCAACGGTCACTCCCTGCTGTATTTTCTTTGGTCGGAGAGAGAAATTGGCCACAATTACAGGTACCTCCTCTGCAGGTGGATCGACTAAACTCAGGCAGTGGTTCTCAACCTTGTTTGCCCCCTTACACCCCTTTCACCATATGCCAGAATGTCATTCCCCCTCCTTTCCAAGATTGTCTGCCTCAAAAAGTGCATTCCAAATAATATGCATATAATACTGAAAATCCTTTATTTTTTCCATATTAGCATCAGTTTCACCCCCCCCCCCTGAAAACCTGAGGGGGGGAAATTCCCCCCCGGTTGAGAACCCCTGGACTAAAGTTCTCCCCACCATCACTCCATCTTCTACTCCACACTGCTCATCAGGCTCCACCATTCCCAGACATGGCAACAGCACCTCTGATCTTGGGGGAATAACTACTGACCGCCTAGCTGTAACCTTAGCACTTGTATGTTTCACAGTCCTCAGCGGTACCCACTTTCCTTTTATTCTCAAGTGCCTCAAGCCAAAGTCCAGTTGACACTTGCGAGGAAGGAGGTAGTCCAGACCCAGGATGCAAGGCTCTTCTATATCTGCTACATAAACCTGTAGGGCTTCTTCTTCACCTCCTAGCTTGATGCTGATGTCCACTGGTCTCTTTAGCACTGCGCATTGTCCAGTTATCCCACACAGCTGCTGTGACGTCTCAGGCAGTTTTCGATGACTAACCACGTCCGGCCTCACAAAAGTCTGCTCCGAGGCTGTGTCAATCACCAACGGACACCTTACGCCATCGATCTCACCTTCAACCTGGGCACTGCTTACAGTGGCTCGGTTGTCAATAGCAAGGGCTCTGGTCAGACAGGTTGGTCGTTGCCCCTCACCACCAGCCATCTGCAGTTTCATGTCTTATTGGGCTGTTCTCCTTTCCCTCTCTTAGAATTCTGTGGGCACTTAGTCTTGAAGTGTCCATCTTCTCCACACGTCCAACATCCTCTCTTCTCCATGTTCTTCTCGGTATTGCTCTTCTCTCGTTTCCGCTTGTAACAGTCTTCCTGCTTGTACCCAATCTTTTCACAATACCAGCAGGCTCCTTTAAATCTCTGTTTCTTGTACTTGCCCCCTTCGTGCTTTAAACCCAGAACTCTGTCCTGAAGTTTGGTAAACTTGACCTCGCATAAGATTCAAACTCCGGGGCTCTAGCCAAAGCTTCCTGTAGAGTTACAGGTTGGGACTGCTTCTCCTGAATTTTGAGTTGTGTGCTGTCCAATGTGTTCACAAACTGGTCCCTCAACAACACAACTAACAGATCAGGTGATGCTCCAGGGTACGCCCTATGAGCCATACTTTCCAGGTCTAGATCAAGCTGTTGCGGTGTTTCACCTCGATTACGGGTACGAGTCCGTAATCTGACCCTGTTAACCTCATTTTGGTGCTTGGTTCCATAACTTATTTCAATAAATTTACCAGTGACATGTAACTGCTTCGCTCTGCTCCTGTCAACTGGCTGAGAACCTCCATAGCCTCGCCCTTAAGACTCGTGGCTAATTGCACTGTTCACTGCTTGTCGTCCCACCTGCTTTGTTCAGCCAGTAACTCAAACTGTGCTTGGTATGCTTCCCAGGAGACCTTGCCGTCGAATTCCTGTAGTTTCTTCTTCACTGGCACTCTTGGATAGTTCCCCAGTTCACATGACGTAGATCAGGGTCTGAATAAACGTGCTCTGTAATTTAGCTCAACACTTCCCTTTTTCACACGCTCATCGTATTTTCCAGAATTTTCAACACAATGTATTCCACTCCGAGTGTGTTCAAACGATATTTCACGCACACAGTCACAATTATAGGAGTCAGTAGATCTCGGCTGATACCCTGCTGTTAGACAATTCTCCAGAGCTTCCATCCTGCTACTGACGTTCTGTAGCTCACTGTTCACCACTGTTAGCTCCTCTCACACCTCTGTGATCTCACCACTCACGTTTTGTTTGTGCGGTTTTAATTTTTCGCCCACTTCTTCTTGTACCTCATCAAACACATCATTCCATCTGTTAAGGCCCGTCCACACGATCGAGCAGTGCCCGGCGGGCACACGCTAAATGCCAGTTATCGGGCAAAATTCGCGGGCAAACCAGCTGAGTGCCCGTGCCCGTCGTTGAGGGAAATCATGGTCAGCCTGCCTGGTGGTTTGCTGCCTGATATGGAGAGACGACTCTGAGTACTGCAAATGTGATAGGTATATGTTCCCAGCTCGCTCTAGATGTCCAGTGTATAACCAAATAAGCTTATGCAATGTACATTATTGGCGTGACAATAAACGGGAGATTTTTTATGTAATGAGGACATTCGTGTGTGTTGTTGCCGCTCTCCTCACTCTAGTCCCACAGCTTCCTGTCTATGCATATCATAATTCTAACATTATTCAATGAATTTTTATGTACTACAAATCTCACCTGCAAGTAATCTTCCTTGAGTACTTCATACATGGCTTGACAAGTTGCAGGTATTATGAGAGAAAAACTGTGTTTTGATATCCTGGTTCTATACTGAAGTGACGTGTAGGTGCACCCAGTTGAAAGATATATGAGCGTTGCCTCTAGACGAGCCTCTGCAGATATACTCTCCCTCATATTGGTATCCTGTTTTTTTATATATGGTTCCACTTTCGCTAGAAGTTTGTAAAAGGTGTTGGGTCCATTCTCATGTAATTGGTGAAGTCTTGCTCATGTCCATCTTGCAGTTCACGTAAAATCGTGGCATGACTCCCCAGTACTTTTCTTCGACCTAACCACTCTTTGCATTTGGTTCTTCTTTCTGCACATAGCATCAATTATTATAGTACACAACGCTATGCTCTTGGCTTTAACTGTCCGGCGATTATTCCTGCGACACACCATGGTGATCGTACCACACCCGCTACTGCCGACCACCTACTAGCTATCGGCGCCCGACTATGACTGCCGACAACCACAGGCTTTGCCCGTTTCCCGGGCACTGCTCGATCGTGTGGACGGGGCTTTATACATCGCTTGCAAAGCCTCATCCCGTTTATGAATTTTTTTATCGATATCTTCCTGTGTCGATTGAAGTTTTTGCTGAATTTTCACTTGCAGTTGCACATTTTCATATTTCTGTTCTTCTCGTTGTTCTTGCAGTAATTGTTTCTGTCCTCCTTGTTGTGAATGTAGTTGTCGTTGCAACCTTGTTTGTTGCTCCTTCTGTTTTTCTTGTAGTTGTTTCTGTTCTTCTTGTAGATGTTTCTGTTCCTCTCGTTGTGATTGTAGGAATTGCATCAGATCAGCCATGGAAATCTCTCCTTGCCTGGCCTGGCTTCTGGTCTGGACACCTTCACCTTCCATCTTGACTGATATCTCAATGCTGGGCTATCCCACTCCTGACACCAGTGTCATGACCCTCCTTTCACCTCTTACTCAGTTTCCACCACTGGTTACCAGCGGCCTGAGTCGTATGTACAGAAGCAGTAGATATCTCACAAGTGTCGTCGAATTACCTCTGGCTGTTCCACCAGTCTCCGGTAATTTCCCGACGATCGGTATCAGTGTACAGACAAAAAATAGGCAGGTAGATTTCCACCAGGTCCCAGAAACACACTTGTGCACTGTAGTCTTCTTTAATAAATAGTAATTCTTCACAACACTGTAAACAGGGTAATGGCTTCACAGCAGGACTTCTCACTTCGAATATATATTATAGTCGGCACACAACCTGTGTACAATTCCATCGTTTTTTCACTTTATATTAATCACAACAATTCCACAATACTTGCACAACAATTATCTTCAGTTTTCCTAAATTCAAACCAACCCCTCAACCACCACAGCGACTAGACCCACCTAAGACTTATGCAACAGCTGCTCAAACCAGGTCTGCTTCAGACCAGACAGCTGACGTGTGGTGTTTATACCATGATTCTCCCACCCATACTACGGAGGATTGTGCAGCAGTCCGACGATGTGGAGAAATAGGGATGGAGTTACCCCAGGTATCCCACCACGGTAAGCCGAGCCGTCGTTTTTACAAGAAGTCGGGGGAACACCAGCGTCAGTCCCAGACCGACATAGGCTAGTTACACCACTACCAACACGCGGCAACGCTTCTGTTACAGCCTCGTTAATAGCGGCGCGAACCAAAGCGGAAGTGTTATCAATTCCGGCGAGGGTTGGGTCAGTCAAGTTAGCGTTAGACATTGATACAGGTGCTTGTGCAAACATACTTTCTTTGGCATCCTATCAAGAGTTACAAAGTAGATCCCCTCACCGAGTATTTTTGATTCAAACTACCGACACCGATCTCTCAGGAGTTTCAGGTACTCAGCTGGACATAAGAGGAATGGTAACATTACCACTACATTTTTCTAGACGTGGTATATCCGTTTCTGCAGATTTTTATGTGGTCCCAGACTTTAATTTACCAGCTGACGGTTTAATAGGTCTTCCAACTCTTAAAACTAATTTGATAGATGTTCAGCCAAGCAAACATACTATCACTGTTAATGGCATTTCCTACAGTGCTATGCACACGTCTGTATCATTGCTCTCCGCAAGGGTGAATGTGTTGTCCAACGCTCCTACTACGAGGACGATGGATGATGAGTCAAAGCTAGTCCAAGACCTCACAGACTCACTTCCCCAGCGTGATTATAGCAGCAATAGCTGGACGATCGTACCTGCAGTTTTAACGGGTACTCTCCATTTTCAGAATGAGGAAATCACCAGAGCCACTGTTGTTTTACCTGGCATGTACACGGGGACGGATGCAGTCTGTCTTACGGAAACATGTAAGGTTAAAGGCTTATCGTGCGAATCTACATTGAGACTATTCGTTCTGGTGGTTTAACAGATGTTCTAGTTCTCAACAGAACAGGCGCATTACGAATGTTGAAAGAAGGATGTTATTTGTGTGATTTTCTAGTTTATCATAACCATGTTGCCCAACAGCCTACACAATTCCCACTTGGTAGTGTTTCACCTTCAATTAAACAAACCAGACAGGAGAGGATAGATCAGATAACACCACATGTTAAGGTGATTGATCACCCTCAAGGTAAGAATAAGCTCCTAGAGTTGCTTGCCGACTACCGAAACATTGTAGCTTTACCAGGGGAACAGCTAGGTCACACAAATTTAACTTCACATCACATATCTCTAAAACAAGGCACTAACCCAGTTTACATACCAGTTTACCGACTACCCCATAGCCAGCGCGCTGTAGTCCAGGACATGGTTGAGGATATGTTGGATCAAGAGGTTATCACACATTCAAAATCCCCTTTCAATAGTCCACTATTTTTAGTCCCTAAGAAGGATGGAGGTTGGCGCCCAGTAATTGATTTTAGGCGCGTCAATGAAAATACTATCCCAGATAGGTACCCAATGCCTGTCTTGAGTGATCTTTTACAATCCTTAGGCAAGGATAATGCTGTATTTAGCAACCTTGATTTGCTTAGCGGTTATTGGCAAATACCTCTGGATGAAAAAATCTCGAGAGATTACTGCTTTTAGTACTCCTTTGGGCCATTTTGAATTTCTGAGGATGCCTTTCGGTCTCAGAAATGCCCACTGACTTTTCAAAGGATGATCAACACCTTGTTTGCAGGGTTGATAGGGACCACAGTATGTGCGTACTCAGATGATCTCATCGTAGTCAGTAAGGATGTAGATACACATATTGCTAAACTCAGTGAAATTTTCCAAAAACTTTCTACAGCAGGACTCAAAGTCAAACTTTCTAAATGTGAATTTTTAAAATCCAGAATCCAATTCCTTGGTACAATAAATATTTTATGGTCTTGGGAGTATTCTAAACATAAAGTTAAGTACAATTTATTTATTAGTTAACTGATAAAACACTTACGTTACTCACCTTGAGGAACATTGCCCAAATCAGTACTGTTTTGTGTTGTTACTAGAGGGCAGATTACATAATGGTTATAATACGGTACCACTAAACATATAACATCAAACATGTAGCACTGCCACTACTTCAGTGGAGGACCGACGACCACCCAGTGGGAAAGCCAGCAAAACAGACCATTGGCCCCTGAAGAGGTAGCTCCCCAGTGCGGCTGTGTCTGGGAGAGAGAAGTCACCCAGTGTTTGGTCGAGACTCGGGACTCCATGCTGACTGACTTCAAGCTAACTTGCCCTGCTCTAGTTGGGGAAGTGTTTATTTACTTTTTCAAGGCGACGCACACATACACACACACACACACATCCATGACCACCGAAGGGTCAAGACGTACCTGGCGCTCCTCAACTGTTAAGTTGGCCCATACTGACTCCCACGGGAATATCAACAAGTTCTCGCCAGAAGTTACAATTTCATTTAGGGAAGGAATGAAACCACAGTGAGGTCTCAGGTACCCAGTGATAACTGCCTGTGAGACCCAACAACAACCAGCGGTGTGTTAATCCGTTTACGATAGGAAGGCCTGGGACCACACCTCACTCATATAACACAATCTGTGAGGGAATTACTACACCACGTCAGGCCCTTCATAACACCATCTGTGAGGGAATTCGTACACCACGTGAGGCCCCTCATAACACCATCTGTGAGGGAATTACTACACCACGTGAAGCCCCTCACAACACCATCTGTGAGGGAATTACTAGACCACATGAAGCCCCTCACAACACCATCTGTGAGGGAGTTACTACACCACGTCAGGTCCTTCATAAAACCACCTGGGAGGGAGTTACTACACTACGTGTTTGCTGTCCAACACCTACATTAATCTGTATGTTCACTGTATGTTCCTTTACCTTTCACTAATGAAGGCTTTTGTTAAACCACCAATGTATGTAATAAGTCATTTATGTCCAATGTATATTTTCAGCCTTCGGGCTGCAGAACTTTTTCAGTAAACCGTTAATTATTATTATTATTATTATTATTATTATTATTAATACACAGACCAGTTCATCATTACGGTCACGTATTGACAGACAAACAATAATTTATATTTTGTGAGCTGTAAATTAAGAGTTGCTGCCATCCATCACTGTTTTGTTTCTTTTACTTGTGTCAGTAAGTGACGTCCAGGGGGTATGTGAGTGAGAGCTTCTCTGTTCCGACTAACTCTGTGTGTGTGTAGGACTCATAACTCCACAGCGGAGAAGGCTGCAACCCTCATGCTTAAATGAACGTCATCAAAATTCATACAACTGTTGTGTTTCAGGGCCAGAAGGTCAAACAAGAGGATCATAATATTGTAAATCTTATCATTATACGTGAGTCGGCGCTTCCCTCCACATCAATCTCATTTAGTCATTGTACAGTTATACACTGCCCCCTTCACAACCAGTTTCCAGGTGGTACGCGAAACTCGTACTTGAAGGATATAAGCACGGAAAAGGGAGGTATTCAGCATTTGATCCATTTTTATTACCTCGCTCATTTAAGCGTTATCTCAGACATTTTTGATCCAGAAGGCTGAAATTTGTACACAAAAGTGACCAAGTAATCTCTTTGTCTGGGTAATTTACATTATTAATACTACTATTGGTTCATGCAATTTTTTCCCATAAAATATATTTAATAATTAAACACAGACGCTAACTTGTGATAAGTGTTGTATCATATTTGTGTATTAAACACCAGCACCGAGCTGCCTCGTACTACCTCCACCTGAATATTTATTTATGGTGATTTTCCTGCACAATGCTGTTGTCTGCTGCACCACACAGCTCCTGTACGGTGCTGTTGTCTGCTGCACCACACAGCTCCTGTACGGTGCTATTGTCTGCTGCACCACACAGTTCATGTACGGTGCTGTTGTCTGCTGCACCACACAGCTCCTGTACGGTGCTGTTGTCTGCTGCACCACACAGCTCCTGTACGGTGCTGTTGTCTGCTGCACCACACAGCTCAAGTACGGTGCTATTGTTTGCTGCACCACACCGCTCCTGTACGGTGCTATTGTCTGCTGCACCACACAGCTCAAGTACGGTGCTGTTGTCTGCTGCACCACACAGCTCCTGTACGGTGCTATTGTCTGCTGCACCACACAGCTCATGTACGGTGCTATTGTCTGCTGCACCACACAGCTCCTGTACGGTGCTATTGTCTCTGCACCCACCGCTCATGTACGGTGCTATTGTCTGCCACCACACAGCTCTGTGCAGTGCTGTTGTCTGCTACACCCACAGCTCCTGTACAGTGCTTTTGTCTACTGCACACACAGCTCCTGTACAGTGCTATTGTCTGCTGCACCACACAGCTCTGTAGCAGTACTGTGTCTGCTACACCACACAGCTCCTGTACAGTGCTGTTGTCTGCTGCACCACAGCTCCTGTGCAGTGACTGTGTCTGCTGCCCACAGCTCCTGTGCAGTGCT